TAGGAGAAGGAAGGCAAAGAGTGAAGACATCAAAAGAGAGCAGAAGATCTAGAGTTCTTGTGACATCTCAAACTTGTTAAAGGTATAAAGCTTATACCTTGGCTTCTATCCACTTAGATCTTCTTATAGACTTGTTATTTTCACTTTTTGGGTCCTTTCCAAGGTCTATCCGAGATTTGAACATTGGGGGGATGAAACGACTTCAGATCTGGACTTTTCTGAGCTTTAGAAGCTCAAAGTTGCCACCTTTTATTCAACCATGACTCCATGGCATGATGGAGGCTTTCATTTTGGCTTGGAATGAGTGTTTTAGCTTCATAACATCATGCATGAACGTAAAGTTAGCAACTTTATGTTTAATGTTAGTCAAAGGAGTCCAGATCTATGAGTTAGAAGCATGGGAATGGATTAGAATCGACTGAATGGATATGTCACAAGGAGGACTCAACGAGTTGTTCATGGACTCGGCGAGTCGGGCAGGGAACCCTAACTCATTTTTTGGTTGTGAGTGGAACCATTGAGTTGAAGAGGTTACTCAATAGGTTGGACAGGACTAGGACTCGGAAGTTAAAAACTCGACGAGTCTAAGGAGGGAATCAATGAATTAGAGTCGATATGTCCCTTTTTCTTATTATGCTAGGACTTGGTGAGTCACTAGGCTGATTCGGCGAGTAGGGTCAACCTGGAAGGTTGAATTTGACCAGGACGTTGAATTTAACCAGGGGTAAAATGGTCATTTTACCCTAAGAAGGGTTATCAGATTTTGATTAAGTGTTATTATGAAATTAATAGTCGAAGAGTCGCCGGAGCAACAGACATGGATTCCTCACTCGAGATTTCAGCAGTCAGTCATACAAGGTGAGTTTCCCTTCGATAGGAACGGGTCTAAGGCACCAAGGCCGGCCCACAGCATGTTATGATTAGTAGTCGAGTGTGGGTGGGGCCTGTATCTCTTAGTTAGCTGACTATGGGTAGGACCGTATCTCCTAGTAGTTGAGTTTGATTATGATATATGTCTGAAGGACACTCTAGTTAAACTTGTTGTCTGTGTGATACTTGTATGTCTGCCTAGTAGCTGAGTGTGCGCGGGGCCCGTATCGCACATCAATCGAGTGTGGGCGGGGCCCATATTTCAAAGATAGTGGAGTGTGGGCAGGGCCCGTGTCTCCTAGATAGCAGAGTGTGGGCGGGGCCCGTATCTTCTAGTTGCATGTTATATGTGTATGGTATGTGGTATTTTGGGGGAGCTCACTAAGCTTCATGCTTACAGTTTCAGTTTTTGGTTTCAGGTACTTCCAGTAGCAAGGGGAAGGGCTCGAGATGATCGCATGACACACACCACAATCTTCAGCCTGGGAGTTTACTCTGATGTTGATTATGAGATTTTTATTTGAGACAGATACTATGATGTTTTATGATTTGACTTATGATTGTGGATGGTTTATGATTTTAATAATGATTTGAAAATGAAATTTTTGGACCGTATTTTTAGGATGTTTCATCATCGAATAACAGACCAAACATAACACTTCCAGCCCTGATTATCTTGATGCACCCTATGAAAACAAAGCCACTGACCATAAGTAGTTGGAGAACACTTTCACTTGTCAGAAGGCTTAGATAATCGTTCGAGTAAAAGATTCATCCCTGCAACGGTTAGACTCAAATGAGAGTTGCGCAACATGGTCAAATCACTTACTCTGGGATTATTTAATCCAAACTGCAAGTGACCTAGCACTTCCCGATTAACAAGTTACCTCATAATCAAGAATCCCAAATCACTACTACTTAGCGAAGCATTACGCTGCTCCTTAGCTGCTTTCCAAAAGCAGCCGATACCTCCCTGGTCCTAACTTGTCTGCCAACTATTTGAAATACTGGACTCCTGCCCGATTGCTGAGCCAAAAGGAACTAATCTAGTCGCCCCTCACGACTTTAAAAAGGAAAACCTGATTGGCAATAATTACCCGAGCCATCTCGACACCAAACCCGATGTTAAACTGAACTCTACAGAACCAATTGTAGTCTTATCTCACATCCGGTCTCCCACAACCTACCATTTCCTGATTCCAAACCTGCTATGGCCCTCCCACAGCCTTGCAAACAGACCCACCCTATCTTAAACCATCTGAAGAAACCCGTAAGCAAATCAAGGATTTACAACAATCTCTCTGCTACACAGTGACTGGTGAATGGTACAGGCCACCTCGCAGTCTTCACACCAACTGGCCACTAGTGAATGATACAGGTCACCCCGCAGTCTTACAACACTTCCAGACTAACTGCTAACTAGTGAATGCTACAGGCCACCCCATAATCTTACAACACTCCCACACTAACTGACCACTAATGAATGCTACAGGCCACCCCGCAGTCTTACAACACTTCTATGCTGCCACAACTGCCGCCCAACTCCTTACCGCTAATATATGTATCCAAACACCTTCTCGATTCAAACACGCTCTAACCAAACCCCCCAACCAAACTTGAAACATGATTGGAACCCCAACCTAGGTCCCCCAAGGCCTCCTATCAAACACCAAGAAGACGCGAACCCAATGTTGGGAAGTTTCCCGAACTCCCAACTCACACAATCCTGAATCCAAACAACCACTTGGGCCGCCTTCCTCCCCAACGGGCATGCAGAACCCATCCTAGTTTCACAACCGCTCATGTTCCTGTATACCTAAACGATTGTCCCCTACTTTGATTCGACTAAGTTCTCACAGCACATGAGAATTGAAGGATTTCCAATCCTTCTTACCCTCTACTGATCGATCTGCCGACAAGAAGCACTTACCCATGCTAGTGTTCTGTCACTAGCCAATCCCAAAAGACCGTACAATCCTAGAAGACCAGATGAACACTTCCTGAATCCCAGCAAAACTGATAACCCCCGCTGCTTAAAAATAAGATCACACTCAAATATTGAAGTCCATAGAACAGATGCTCCAACCAAAACCTCAGCAA